CATCCCGGCTGTCGGGGCACCTCGACCGTGACATGGCAGCCCATCCTTTGCCCTATCGCTGGCCCGGTCGCTTGCCCTATCGACGTGCGCACATGCGAAATGCAACGATGACTCGTCCACAAGGCCATCAATCACTGTCGGCTGCCAGCGAGCACGCTTCGCTGCCTTCTCCAAGCCTGCCTCGTCACTGTCAGGCGTCCTCACTGTAGCCACACGTTGCTTTGCAATCCTGAAGACTCGAAAAGCATCTGGACAAGGGATGCGACAGTGACGGCGGTTACACACCCCACGACTCATTCACGCCACGCCCGTCTCCGCGAGTATCGATGCGGATAAGATTTCGTTGCATAGCTGAATGCAGTAAGCTTAGTGTCAGAAGATCATCTCGGGGATGAATAGGGAGACCCTTGGTGGCATCCCCACGCTTTCATCCGGCGGCATCTGACATCCGCAAAAGGAAATGCAAACGCATGCCCCGGGATACTGTCCGTCTCTCCGTGCGCCATGTGCAATAGTGAAATGAATGGCGATTGTTTTTACGGATGCTGCCCAAACCGTCCATCTGGCTGTTTGACGACTTGATTTGAGTGTCGCAGGTTGGCCACCCTTCGCCTAGCCGACCACAGAAGCCAACACACAGCCCGACCACAGGCAGATCATCGTCGTTTCAAAACGGAACCGCTCCACAAAGCTTCCTCAAGTCTGAAGAAAGCCTCGGATCACGAACTTCCTATTTCGCATCGAGGTTTAGCCGGTCAAGCACATGGGGTGCATTAGTCGCCATCACATGCATTCGGCGAAGATGATCTCAGGGTCCAGTGGATGACATTCCCCACTCGTCGCCTCCGAGACAATTTCTAGCCTGCGGGTCTTCTTCACAACTCTCATCCACCAGTAGTCTTCCATAGCCGGCAGGTACTTTACAGCCCGTGGAGCGAGGTAGCATTGCCACCAATAGTTGTAGCGAGGTACATCTCGGCCCGGCATGGATTGTACACTCTTTCAACCGCCATTATCGCTCGCTGCGACGGTTTACAGGAGTCATACTTGCAGCCGCAGCGGATCCGTGCTGCCCCCGAACAAAGTCCAGCTACCTTCCTTTCTTTATCAAATTCCGAATTCGTTGCGTTCGCGTTGTACGGAACCCCAAATGCTCACGGCTGACCTGCAGTGCGCGGGAGGCTGAGTAGAGATCTGTAATGTCCGCGTCGCATGCAGTGAGCACACCCTCCCGTGCGCATCCATTACTGCAACGGTTTCCGCAAATACAACGCTTTGTGCCTATAAATTCGCAAGTACCACAAAGGAAACGGAGCACAAAGATCAGCCCTGTCGCTTGCATTGTGTGCAGCCGCGTGCGGGTGAATGCTGGAATAAAGCACCCTGCTTTCATCTCCACGTTTTCGCGACCCGTTTTTTGCCTGTACACTCTGCCGGTAATCTGGGGTCGGAGGCAAGAAATTGTCTGTGCTTGCTCTGGAAACTGGGGATCGTGAGTCCGTCCGCCCTAGCATGGAAGGTTCTTCCATCCTTCCATGCGGAACTACCGTTCCAGAGTGCTCGTGCGCAATTCCTCGCGTCGAGGAACGAACCATTCATATTGCCTTTGCCGAGGTTCTGTTTTACCCTCAAACCAGTACCATAGTAAAGTTATGGTTCAGTTGCCGACTCGGTCAGAAGGTCGGTTGGGCATCCAGGCCACGTTGCCGCTACTCCTAGCCCCTTCGCTATTGCTGCACAGAATGCGGGTGGGCGACCGACCTTGGAAGGTTCCAAATCGCGTGTGAACAAACTTTACTTAGCTGACACAAAGGGTTCCCTTGTTTGCAAGTTCGCATGCAAGGAACCACATGCCTGTTTTGCGCAAACTTCGAGACGCAGGGTCTGCCGACCCACGAAACAGCACCTGTTCATGACGACGTTTGTCCCACAAACGACATCAGCCAACACCCCGACGCAGCAGGTGTGCCGCCGTCTCCATCACGACCCCATCTGACCCCATGTCAACACCCGTATCACTTGCCTCGATGCTATCACCAAACTTCATTTATGACGTCGTCCTGCGGCAGAGCCGCACTAAACCGGCGGCACGGCGTTATTCCTTCCTGCACCTTTTGCAAAACTGACGCCCTCGCCAAAAAGTCTCTGCTATGATATCCACATGCCAGTACGAAGTAAACGAAGTTCATCTCGGTGAAAATGCACGTGAGTGGATCGGTAACATCATCGTGCTTATGGTGCGGCTACAGCCTTCAACTAGAAGCCCGTTACCCTTTCACATGGAATGTCCGATGTGGGCCCAAACGATAAAGGTGCTTGAAAGGGTAAAAATTTCAGCGCTCCGGTGTGGAGTTCCAGGAGAGATACATCCGATGTGTTTTCGTCGTCCTGCGAACCCACGATTCATGGGTGCTGGCGAAAACCGGCCGGGTGCTGTGGCTGTGGAGCAGGTGTTGGAGCCTCAGTTTCATGCAACTTCTCAACACACACCGTGCAGTGGCGGTGAGTGGATACAGATTCAAAATTCCATTCACGGCCGCGGTCTGAGCGGTTCGAACGGCTCAAATAATTTCAAAATTTGATTTCTTTCACAAGTTAAATTCCACAAGTTCTCGAACGCCCGCGCCAGGAAATCCAGAGCCAGATCCTACACACTACCAGACTTGATGTACTTTCCTCATCTGGAGATACAACCGCCAGTGTGTTTGTTTGAGAGCGTGCAGATGTACCATGGAATTATTGGCCTAGACCGCCGTTGAGATCAGCAATCGCCCTGCGTCTGGCTGCATGTCACTAGGTACTCGACAGGCAGGTGCATGGTAAATAGCATCTAAAAGGAATAATCCGTTGTTGTGTACACAGTACACAACACTTGGTTGTTCTCGGTTGGGAATTTTTCCGCTTACAGTTGAGGGGAGGAGAAATTCCGGTGGCTGATCAAAACCGGAGAATTAATGGATCGTGAGGAGCAGACGCGGGGATGCACGCTGGGCACACAAGATCTAGTGCCAGATGGTATTTACCGAACTGTCATCTGTGAGAGTCGAAACAGGTGATGTGTTTCACTGATAAATGATTTGCAGCGTGCATTTGGCAGCTTGCTTCCGAACATTCGTGTTGGACGCAGCTACGAGGCTCTGACAGCTGCCACTCGGTACGACTACATCGTCGCATCCCTACCGTAACAGGATGATACCACCAGATAGTGTATTACACCATATTTGACTTTGTTTGCGATATCTTATCGGAAGTTGCTGCACAAATGCGAGTCTTATGATGGAGGGGTAGATTCAACGGAGCCTCTTGGTAGGCATCAACGAAGTCTACTCCTCCAGATGCACACTCACCAGGCGCTGGTCACAAGACAAGGGGAAAGGTCTCGCCGCCTTGTGGCCCTCTCCGCCTTGCAGTCCCCTAATGTTGATCCTCAGACAGACTATACAGCGTCTCAACATCGCAACAGACAAAGAAACCGCTGTGAGCGGTGACTCACCGCTTGACCACTGTGCTCCCAATACCGCTCACCTCCATATCGTACTTCATGCAGTGCGACACCTAAAATGCAAGAACGCCGATCCTTTGACTTCCGCTGTCGGAGTCGAGCTTGAAGGCTGTCAGATGGACAACAACTGCGAGCAAGCAGGGCTATGCCCAGTTGTTACCCCGAGGAGTCATAAGAAGGGCTACTGCCTTCCATTCCTCCACTTTCTTCTCTTGTTAGCGCCTACACGGTAAATCAAGTTTATTACATGTCTATTTGACCACGCATACGATTCGCTAGTAGCTTGATCGGTCATTGTCTGCCTCGTTCAACCTCTTTTCTCCGCGACAGTGGCGCTTCGTGGTAATTCTCCTCTTCTTCCTACCACCCCGAGTGCCCTCGCGTGGCAGTATCTCGTCGCTCATTCGCCTACGCGATAAGGCGAAGACTAGCCGCCTGGATGTATGCCGTGCATATGTCACTGTTTTAGGTGCTCCAATAAGCCTTACCCCACGCGGGGCAGACAGTGTTCATCACGAGGGCGCTTGGCTATCCCCACGCCACACCACGACTTGACATGTGAATTCGCCTCATGGCCAGAAGCTTACAGCGGCTATTACGATCCATTCTAATGAATTCGGCATTCGTTATCCTGCTCATGTGACCATGGATCAAAGACGAGAATGTTCCGCTTCCCGAGGATATAGCGGTCATTGTCTTAGACGGGACGTGGGGTACCGAGTTAGGAAAGCCGGGGTGGGGAAGACTTGTGGATTCTGCCCTCCACAGTCCACACGCTTTTTTGCCTCTTGCTCCATTCATTCTCCATATCGTGCTGTGGAGATATTGTGGGTTTTCTCGAGACCCTGATGTACCTTTGATCCGGTTTTCAGTGTTTGGAATGGCATTTTCCGTAACAAGAAGCTGACGGAGAGGTTGCGTCATTATGGAGACCAAATGGGTCTTCGTGGTTACAAGTCGAAGTAGAGCTGGTGATCAGTGGGTATTTAGGCATGATGGCGTTCGGTATGTGAAGTTGAACGGAAGGGATAGAGATGTAGTGACTGTGATGTGAACGTGTTGCTTACGTGGCAGTAATTGCGGAAGTAAGGAAACTCGGGTATTGCTTTGACTTGGATTCGCATTAACGGAGGGTGAGTTTAGCACATGACCTGGTATCGCGGTGCGATGTGCATCGTTCTCTGCTTGTGGATGGAGTCAGATTGCGAAAATACGTGTACGTTCATAAGAAACCATGCTGAAAGTTGTGCGTCTTGATTGTGTGATTATATTGCAGAATACTACAAGTACTATGTTTGGGTCTTGAGTAAACGAACAGACGACATGCACTCCACCCAAGAAAGAATTGATCGATGGTCGCCGGGTAGTAAGTCACCCATTCCAAGGACCATCATTCCCCGGGACCAGTACGTTCTTCTGGGTCACCGCGTACAATCTATGACTACGGTATACCATGTGCCAGAGAGGTCAACGCTTTCGTCACAGAGGCCACGGCACTTCAAGCCGGAGCCCAGTAGCCATCCCAGTTATATTTCAGTACCTCGTTACTCCAAGACATCCATTTACTGACTAGGTACCGAGAAAAGACTTCCAGCGCACTGTAATCATTCGAATCCATCAGATAGGGTTCGAGTAACGTCTTCAGACACGGTTTCCGCGAGTGGATATCTGGTACAGCAGCGATGACTCTCCTTTTGACCGTTGGCGCGTGTGCCATCGTCGTCCACGAGTTGGGAGCCGCACGACCCAGCAGCAGAATTTCATAGGGCTTGCGCATGGTGCTATCAATGTCGAACATGGGCTCGCCTTTGGTCGTCGTCTTGATCCATATCCATTCCTCGATCAAGCCCACGTTCCACGTTTCAAAGAGTCCGCCGGGTCCGAGCACATGTTGTCTCAGTGACTGCTTGTTCGTGATCCAGACGCCCACAAGGGCATTGTGCTCGAGATAACTGTCGATATCCATGTTCAGTAGCATTTTCTTGAGGTACGGCATGCCGCCAACCTGCTCATATGCGCCCTTCCGCTTGGCTGAACGGTTGGGCCATGGTGGATCCAGTAGCACTAGATCAAAGTGTCGTGGAAGGGTGTATTCGTTCGTGAGCTCACGAAACGAGGTACGGAAAGCGTCCGATGCAGTGGAATCGCTAAGGAAGAATGTGGAGCGAGGTGGTATTGTGAAACGATACTCTGGGCCCGGCTGAGCAGATTGCGACGTATTTGTGGCGATCGCAAGTGCTACGGAGTGGTGGTTGGGGTTGTGAAAGGTACCCGTCCATGGTTCAGTTTGTGCGTCCGAAGAGACAGTTTCAGCGGCCTGCGTTGTGCTACTTGTAGTCTCACGTGCAGCGCGGTACGACATCATCCACTGTGGTGCCGTAGAGGCCGGTTCTGCAACCTCGGAAGTTGCGCCGAGCGAAGCCATCATCTGTTGCAGGTTGAATGCGGTATCATCTTCTTTCGTCTCGCCGGACGCTGCCCACTCCCTCATCCGGGCCTCGAGCTCTTTCTCGGAGATTTCGTCTACATCCATGACCTGTTGTTCCCCAAGGACTGGCTCTTGGGTCATTAGCTTGCGCTGTGTGCACCACGGCCCTGAGACCTGTGCACGTATTTGGCGGAGTGCATGTTCAGCAAGGACTTTGTAACGTTGGTCATCAAGATGCAACGACAGGAAGTCGTGGTTAGACGCTTCTGCCACTGTCGCATGCGGCGTGGTAGTCGTGTCTTGTGCCTGAGTCTTGTTCGTTCTAGACTTCTGTGTCTTGGGCCGATAGTCCTCTTTCGGTTCGATAGGAGTATCCAAGGGTGGAGTAGAGAGCAGCACTCCCGAGCGGTCGCCTTGTGCTGCTGCGATAGATGTTGGTATATCGATCAACGTGATGTCTCCCTCCACGTTCTGGTAGATGATGGGGTTTGGAGAAGTCATGACGGGAAGTAATCGAAAGGAAAGGACAATGATGGAAGATTTCCTACCAATTCTAGTCTTACGTCACAGCTACTTCCTGCTCGCGATTTCAAAGACCACACTCAGGCATTCACCACATATTCTCATACATGCACGTGATCAACGATAACGAGGTCGTGATTGCAGACTTCACGATGCGCTTGTGGTGTTGAGAGCGCCATGGGAAACATTTCCGATGGGTAGCGTCGGATGAAATGATCTGGGCCAAGTGCCGGCCGAAAGCAGCAGATCAGCCTCGGTAAACGTCATCGCCGTGGCTGCATCTCAAACACCAAACCACACAACGGCGTTGCTTTCTAATCCCCATACACGCGACCCCTTCCACGTTCTCAACCACGTTCCTCGTCGTAGCCACGCGAATCGACAACGCCAAGGAAATCGCATCTCACTGAATTCATGTCGCGGTAACCCCACGCAACTCAGTTCTGGAATGTCCACGGATCTCCTCCGCTATGACGGAAACAAATCGAATATCATGACGACGACTGCGGCGCCAAAAAATCGCGCAAGCAACATAATACCAGACCATGACACGGCCATGTCAGCGAAGAAGGAAGGCAGCGTAGCCGTGGCCTCTGGGAAGAAGAAGATGGATAAGAACAGCATGGAATATCTGATCAAGAGCGGAGTGGCAGGAGGGTTCGCCGGATGTGCTGTATGTCAAGACGCACTTCATCACATGAAGCAAGCCACTAGATGTACAAGTACTAACAGCCCAACAGGCAAAGACGGTAGTAGGCCCCCTCGACCGCGTAAAAATCCTCTTCCAAACCCGCAACCCCCAGTTCGCGAAATACGCCGGCTCTTGGAGTGGTTTCCCCACGGCAATCCGCGACATCTACGTCAGCACCGGAGTACGTGGTCTCTTCAAGGGTCACTCGGCAACACTCCTCCGCATTTTCCCCTATGCCGGCATCAAATTCCTCGCCTACGAGCAAATACGCGGTCGCATAATAAAGAACAAAGCGCAAGAAACCCCGGGCCGACGCTTCATCTCAGGGAGTCTAGCGGGCATGATGAGCGTCTTCCTGACATACCCCCTCGAGGTAATCCGCGTGCGACTCGCCTTTGAGACAAAAGAAGAAGCCCGCAGTAGTCTCGTAACTATAGTACGAAAAATATACAGCGAACAAGCACCACGGATATCGCAACCAAAGAACTCCATCACAGCAACCGCAACCCACGTCGTCGAAACCGTTACCCCGCGCTCCGGCCTCTCGAACTTCTTCCGCGGCTTCACACCCACACTCCTCGGCATGATACCCTATGCGGGCGCCTCGTTTCTCGCCCACGACTCCATGTCCGATCTCATGCGCATCCCCATCCTCGCTCCTTACACAACACTACCCAATACCTCTCGCGAAGAATCCAGCACCTCGAGCCACAAACCCGCGCAATTGCGCTATTGGGCTGAGCTGACCAGCGGCGGTATCGCTGGCTTCTTTTCACAAACAGTGTCTTACCCACTAGAAGTTATAAGACGAAGAATGCAGGTTGGTGGTGTCGTCGGTGATGGCCATCGACTTAGTATACCGGAGGTTACGAGGAGAATCTACATGGAGAGAGGATACAAGGGCTTTTTCGTGGGGCTGACGATTGGCTATGTCAAGGTTGTTCCGATGGCTGCGGTCAGCTTTTATGCGTATGAGAGGGGGAAGTACTATCTGGGCATATGAACTCGGGATCGATCGGATGAGGAGGATAACAGATGATGATTTTGCATGAACGGAGAGGAAATGGATTAGAGCCGGACAGTTCAGGCGTTTTGGAGCTGAAATATGCGAGGGATTAGCTGTTTTTTTCGAAAAAGGTGTTGTCAAGGTTGATAGTGTTGACCACGTACATAAACATCGTGAGTACAGCGTGTAGATAGAAGATACCAAATATGTCACTACTTGTCCCCAAACCAGATCTAGTGTTTTCGGCCAGCATAGATAGCTTTGGTACTATCCATTGACTCTGTGTCGCTCATCGCAGAATAGGACTCATGGTAGCTGTCGACTTGATCTTGGAGGCGTGTTCCTAGCGAATCACGTGGTAGTTGGGAAAATACTCTATAGGTGCTGAAGCCTGACGTCAGTCTTTGACATAACAGTCAGAACGATAGACCACTATTCACTCACTGTTGTGTCCCATCAATCTCGAATTCACTGTAGGTAACAGATGCCTTGAGTCTTATGACTGGAATGTCGTAGGGGTCGAGCTTGCCAGATTCTAAAAAGAACTGTATGTTGTACTTGCTATTATGCCCAGACATATCGACCGAGTCGTCCTCCTCCAAGAGCCACGGTGCTTCTCTCCTTATATCCTCCCACGATATGTCCTTCTCAGGGACCAAGTCGTCACTAAGATGGCGATGGCGAAGACTGCTTTCTTTGCTCCAGGCTGGAAACAGCCTTTCAATGTCTCGACGATGTTTCGAGGCAGAGTATTCGCTGAAAACATGTAGAGCCGGGTGTATGACGCCGCTTTCATAGACCACAAATATATAGTCTGTGTACCCTTCATGCGCAGACTTGATTAGAACAGCTACTACCGAGGAATAGTATGGATAAGGAGTGTCTTGTCTTGTCTGTAGGAACACGGCGTCCGAGTGATCCCACAACGACTGCGGAGTTACACCACAGATGCTGAAATCTTCTTGCTGGGAAAAATGCAGTGCATTCTTCCGCGAAGCAGCAAGGTGAGTAAAATCATCGGTATGGTGGAAGTCAGTTCTTATATAGATCGAATCCTCATCTATTGGTGTATCGGTTATGCGATCGAAGCACGGTATAGGGGAAGCAATAAATGATTCCAACCGAGGGAGATTTCGCAAACGACCATAAAGACGTGGTGCCAGCTTCCGAAGGCCAATCTCACGATTCGTGCAGTCGGACGTAGTCGCAATTTGAAGGACGTAAGTCGACTTTTCCGGCCTCTCGCGAGATGATCGATAGGACAATTCGAAGTCGCCAGTGAGCAAAAGACCCCGATTTGTGATAGAGAACTCGGGCCCTAATCCTATAGAGATATTCTGCAGATCAGCACTGCCTGTAAATGCATTTGGAGAAGTAGCAAGGACTTCAACCAGACCATCCCACCTTTTATAGTGCGACACATTGTCCCATGCGAATATAGTGAGATCGTTGTTGCGCTTGATGATTTCTTCTTGAAGACGTTTGAACGCTGTTTTGCCCTCGCCATATATCAATGGCATATTGATCTCGAATATGCCTAGAAGACAATACGCCATGTCTTCGGTACGTTTAGTAACTCGCTTGGAAGCCCAGGACATCCGTGCACCAACAGACTCCTTGTATATTGTTCTTGGCTTGAGTAAGACTTTGGTAGGAATCGAGGTGAACTTGGATATAGTGTCAGTGTGGTCCTTCCTACTCCCCCTGAATGTCCAGTCTTGATCGTAGAACTCTACATTTGATGGAGCAAGGAGTTCCTGTAGTGTCCAACCTAACATGTGGGTGTACAAGATCAGTATATGTCTCATATTCAGTTCGTAAAGGGACATCTGTTACCTCTAGTGAACCAGCGGCATTTAGCAATTTGATCCTCTAGTCCGAGATGGGCAGGGAGATCTTCCAGGACAACATAGCAGACTTTTGCTTCATTGTACCAATTATACATGGAGTTGATCGACTCTGTCAACTCAGCACTGCTAGACTTATCGACTATCACGAGCCAAGAATGTGTTAGCGAACATACGAGGGCTGCTCTCGCCGTTGTTGCCTTGTGCCGAAAGTAGGGCTACTCACTATTTTCGAGTCAGTGACACGAGCATATTATGTGTATATTTTGAGCTGACCTGCAACATGTATCTACCCAGAAATACTGGAGCTCATCTCTTTTGGCCTGTCTCGCGCATGCGTAGATCTTGTTCCATCCCAGTTTATGCAGATTCGCCATATTTACAACGTCGAGATATGTGACCTCATCACTATCCGCACCCCATGTGTGTGAGAGAATGGCGTAGGGTGGTATATCACCCTCGTAACGCTCGACGAGGCTGAGTTCATTGTCATCGTCAAGGCGTAGAAGACGCATCGAACGAGATTGTACGGAATTACAAACAGCAGGAAATGCTATTGAGGAAGGGGTATGCAGAGAGGTTGCGATAGTTCCCTATTGACGGACAAGATGAGAAGAGAGAGGGTAAGCGCTGCAAAAGGGAGTGGGGCAGGAACACTCAAGGCTGCAGTGATCATCACGTGGCATTGTGAGTTTGGCGAGTAACGACACTTCTAGACGGTATTCGAATATAGAGGAACGAAATGCGAATTTCTTCAAAGCCTTATTAAAAAAACACTCAAGAGTATCGATTCGATGGAGCTGCCGGGCATAAGACGCAGGCACAACGCTGTCAAGTAACACTGTATTGTATCGCGGTAAAAGTGTAATACTCAAGAGTATATCATGATATGACCATTGGGCATTGCCAAAGTACCCCACAGTAGCGCCACGCCATGCCAATGCTGTTACCACCCACCCATACATACCCCAACACTACTTGAGCGTATCAACCAACTCCCTGTAAATCTTCTTCAAATCCCTCACATCGCCCTCTAGCTCCTCGACCCTCTCCGTCTTCTCGCCCAACATATCCAAGGCCGCCTCCTCTCTAACCTGCATCTCATCCATGCGCTTCTCGAGATCAGCGACCCTATCACCGTTTTTGCGCGCCTCGTCGACTTCGCGCATGAGTGCTACGACTTCTTCCCTCGCCTCGTCGCGCTGCGCAGTGAGGCGCGCGAGCTCCTCTTTGTGTGTTGCTTTTTCTGATTCCAGACGGCGGACTGCGGCGGACATGCGCTCTACGAGTTGGACCGAAGGGCCGGCACCAGCGGTGGAAACGGATATCATGTCGTTGATGGTGCGGTGCGGGGAGGATGTGTTTTCAAAGGGGTCGTTGTCGTGGTCCATTGTGTGGATCGAGGGTGTGTCTGGGACGCCTCCTCCGGCGAGGTTCGACATGCTGGACGGAATCGAGTCTTGTCGTTGAGGGGTCCCGATTTCCGGGGTGCGGACTCTGTTGGACTTGTTGTGGCGGGAGCTCGAGGGGCGGCGTGAGGCTTCGTCAAACATGCGGTCCATGGGGGACATCATGGGTAGGTCCATGCCGCTGGTGATGGAACGTGGGTTTGGGCGGCGGTTGTAGATACCAAGTGGATCGGGCGAATGCCTTCGTTGGGCTATAGAGGGTGAGTCTGTCCGCAGGTATTGAGATTCGCCCATTAGAGATGGTGTCTGTACTTCCACCTTCCACTTGTTTTTCTCGTCTTCTATTCGTTGTTGGAGCTCAGCCTCCCAGACCTTCTTCTCTCGCTCGAGTTCTGCCTGTGCATCTTGTGCGGCAGACTCTGCTTGCGTGAGCCTAGCTTGCAGCTTTTGGGCTGCAGCACGCTGCTCGGTCAGGTCGTGCTCGAATGCTCGGGCTCGCTCGTTGATGCTCTCGAGCTCGTCTTCCAGTCGACGTGCTTTTGAGTTTACGTCTCTTGCTTTCCGCCTGACGTCAGATTCGCGCTTCGCGGTTTCGTCTCGGTCCTTCTCAAGAGCCGCGACGCGAGATGTCAAAGTGGTCTCAATACCTTGCCAGTTCTCGGAAGCTAACGAGTACTGAGTCTGCAACGTCTCGATCTGTCGCAAAAGCTTGGCCTGTGAATCGCCAGTCGCTGATGAAGATGCCTCTTCTGTGCGGCTGCGGAGCAATTCTAGCTTAGATTCTAGATTCTGAATCCCATGTCAGTGTACATGCATTTGCAAAGGTTCGTCATCACTTACAGCAATCTCGCCACGCAGTTCCAGCTCGGCGACCTTTGCCTTCTCCTGTTGGCTCTTTGCTTCATCTCTGGCCGCTTGAAGTTCTCTCTTCGCACGGTCTTCGGCAAGCTTCTTCTCTATCCGCACGTTCTCAATGTCCTCCTTTAGCGACGCAGTGGCCCTCTTCTCTGCTTCTAGCGCGCCAGACTGAACCCTCTTTTCGGCATCTTCTGCCCGTGAGAGCGCATCGCTGAGTTGTTTCCGCAACTCGGATATTGTAAGTCCAGCTTCCTCGCGCTCTGCTCTAATAGTCTCGATATCCTTTTCGATCCTGCCTACAATTTTCAGCTTTTCCTGCGCAGACTTTTCCGCCGCCTCTGCGCGCCGTGCCCTTTCCGACTGATCAGTGATGCTTTTCTCCGCCTTGGTCAATCGCTGCTTGAGAGTCGCAATTTCCTTGTCCTGTTCCAAAGCCTTGGCGCGCATCTTCTTGATAGTGGTGAGATGCTTCATCTCCGTCTTTGAGAGCTTCTGGCCCTCTTCCATGAGTGCAGCGATCTGGGCATCCTTGTCTGCCAGCTTCTTGTCTGCCGGTGTTGCTCCAGAATCAGACTTGGCAGCCTTCGCAGATGCAGCGAGTTGCTCAGACATGTATGTCAACTTGGACTGTAGAGCATCAATTCGCTCTAGGTGTGCGTTGAGCTCCTCGCGGTTGTCCTTCAACGTCTCCTGGTATGTGTTCTGGAGCAGGGATAGCTCGACTTGTATTTCTTCGGGGTCTTTGGCTTCGGGAGGCGGTGTTGGGGTAATGGCGTCGACAGAGGGTCGCGACGGGTCGCTGTCGAAAGACTGGCGTGGGGAGGATGTCTGTGGGGTGACAATGGAGGGTATCGAGGGCATGGACATGGTGGGAACAGGCGTCGATTTTGGTTGCTCGGCTACCAGAGGTGTAGGTGGTGGTGAAGTCGCTGGGGGAGAGACTATGGGCGCAGGTGCTTCCACAGCGGGTTGTGGTGTCTGTGAAGGCTCCCCGGCCTTACTGCCATCTGGCTTGGTCGCCTCATCTTCTTTCACTGTTGTAGCTTCTTCCTTGGCCGGTACAACTTCCGTCACTGGCTCAGGCGCCTTTGAATCTATGCTTGCCCTCGGCGATGCGGTGACGGCATTTACAGCAGGACTTGCTGGTCTCGACCCCAGATCCGATGAGGTTCTTGCTTCGGATCCCTTGTTCACGGCCTTGGCTAAACGGTCCTGGAGGCGGGAGTTGGGTCGGCTTCGTGACGAGTTGCGCGAGGCTTCTATGCTGTTAGCCTTGCGAAGGGCTATGGTACCATGTCTCTGACAAGGCTACCCACCTGGCTCAACTGCGAGCTTCTTGTCCGTCGCCGCCTTGTCTGTGCCTTCTGTTTTGGCAGCTGCATCCGGGCCCGCGCCTGCTGGCTTTGGGGTGCCATCCTCGGCCAGTATCGTGTCGAGTCGCGACTCCAAGCCCGAGATGGCGCTGTTCCACCAGTTCTTCCCACTCATCGTGCCTTTACAGCCTTGTTGCGTGTGGCGACTCTGTTCCTCGTCTGTGGAACTTTACTAGCTTTCACCGTGCACTCGTTCTCCGCCTGTGTTTGTTCATAGCTCAATTGCGCATAAGGCCAGGTTGGTCTGTTGGACGTGGTACGCGGTCAGCTAAGGTTTCGCGGGGAGTTGCAGGCTAAGACTTTCGCAACAACAACAATGACCACCACCATGCGTGGAATGCAGTCGATGTCCGAGACTCGAAATTGCTTGTCGCAGCTAGACGATGCCCGTGTAAGCGAAATAGCCCCCGTCGTATTCGTGTCCTCACGATGTCTGCCGCGCAAGCCCTCAGCATGACGGATGCCGTAGCACGTAGCCAGACAAACGCCGATTGGCCAGCCTTCCGCTCTGCCGCAACTCCGCCCTGACGCAATTCCCACCACCACAACTTATGCAGGGGACTTGGGTCCCGGCCATCGCTTCCGCATGTGAATCGAGGTATGCCATATCTTCACTTTGGCATGGCGGGTACATGCGTTATGCTTTTTTAGACATGCAAATTCAGATGCACTTGCATCTTACGATGGCTACTCGATTTGAACTAGTCTCCCTAGTGGCATCGCTTCTGCCGTCTCTGACGACGACGATAACATTTCTTTAATTCTGCCTGGTAGTCGTCGTATAAGTACACAGATAGCTTCGTTTCGTCCATCTTTTCCACCACATACAACCATCCACCATTACCTTCAAGATGCCTCTCGCCGTAAGTTATTCTCCAGTCTAGTGTCATCTTCTTATCCTTCACATGTACCGTTTCTCGAATCGTGTTTTCAAGATGACTTACAAATTACTAATACTAACCATTACCAGGCCGTCGGACAGATGCGTTCAATGGCCTCCATGGCCGAGAACCTCAAGCAAGCCCAAGAACTCTGCCAAAAAGCCCACAAGGCAGGCGCAGCCGCCCTCTTCCTCCCTGAAGCAGCAGACTACCTAACCACATCTGGCGGACTCAAGCTCTGCAAATCTGTCCAAGATTCCGAATTCGTACTCGGGCTCCAAGAATCCGCAAAACAATACTCCCTACCCATATCTGTCGGCATCCACGAGCCAACAGACGATGGAAAGAAAGTCAAAAACACCCTAATCTGGATCACTTCTGATGGCGAGATCAAATACCGCTACCAAAAACTCCACCTCTTCGACATGGACGTCAAAGACGGCCCTCAAATGCAAGAGTCTGCGGGAGTAGAACGCGGCGTACATCTAGGCGATCCATTCGACAGTCCCATAGGCAAACTCGGCATGCAAATCTGCTTCGACCTGCGCTTCCCAGAACCTGGTCTCGCTCTACGCTCGCGGGGCGCACAAGTCCTTCTCTACCCCGCTGCATTTACCACTCCCACGGGCAAAGCAGGACATTGGGAGATTCTCATCAGAGCCCGTGCGATTGAGACGCAGAGCTACATCATTGCAGCTGCGCAGGTGGGTGTGCATGATGAAGAGGGCAAGAGGCGCAGCTGGGGACACAGTATGATTGTGGATCCGTGGGGGAAGATTGTTGCAGAGCTAGGGGGTGATGAGGGCGAGGGAGGCAGTTGGAAGGATGAGGGTGAGATTGCGACGGCTAAGATTGATCTTGATTTTGTGAACCAGTTACGCAAGGACTCGCCCTTGAACAGGAGAACGGATGTTTATGCAGCGCTTTGAAATGGTGAAAATTTAAACATTGCATAGCGTCATAAGTGGCTATATGATGGGCTAATTGGGTATACAAGTCTGCTAGGAATGAACCGTTTTCGTATGCAAACATGGAAAATGGAAGATTCAAACTCAAATCTGACGCCCTACCTTCCCATCCCCATCCTTAAACATTCCTTCCCTCCAGCAACCTTGCCTTGCCCGCCAAACTCAGATATGCGAGCGAGTGATCCCGAGTTTCCAATTCCCGTTCAACCCTCGTCCTCACATCTCCCAACCCACACCCCATGCACTCGGCCAACCTCTCCAACAGCGTCGTAAAAAGGCTCCTCCCCTTGCCCGGCTCCCGCTGAGGTCCATGCGCTCTCGGTGGTTCAAATTCGCCCTTGCCATCCCCCCAACAAGGCCACGCCCAGTCATGCGTCCCATGGTCGACATAAAAGTTGAGCAGCACAGTCTCCGCATCACTCGTATCGTGGTGCAGTAAGCTGTCCGAGATGAACTCGGGACCGAGAACTAAGGCGGCTTCGGCAAAACAGAATTCCAACTCGCAGCGCAGCGAGACTTGGTTGGCGTCCATGAAGCGACCGTATGTGCGTTGGTTTATCCAGCCGGAGCCGTGGTAGCGGGCGGAAAGGGTGGCGTGGTGGAGGATGAGGTAGATTGCTGTGAGCGGATCCTGGGGCAGACTCTTGATGTATGTGAGTCGATCTGTGTGGGATGCTAACGAGACGACCGCGTGTCAGTTGAGAGTTGGTTACGAAGGACAAGGTTTGTGGAGTGGAACATGTGTGACTGACCAATCGATACGAGCTTGTATAATAGCAGTAACCCTGCGTTCGCAAGGCTTATATTATGTCGGAGAACGGCATTGAAGTTGTGTTCGGAGCAGAGGGCGTCCATGACATCGTCTACAATGTCGTACTTGCTCACACAGTCCGCTAGCCAGTCGACGTTTAATCTTCCATCTTGGCGACTGAAATCGGTTTCCGCGTGCCGTAGCTCCTTGCGCATAAAGCTGCCTGTAATAGACTTTTCGTAGTTTTTGAAGATGGCGCGGAGACGGGGATGAGCAGAACGTATTGCGGTTATGAGCGTGCCGTCGTTGAAAGGGAGGTGTTGGATCGTCTTCAAGACGAGCTCAGGAGGGATTCGCGGCGAAATTAAAAAGTTGAGATAGGGAGATGGATCGGTGAGAGTTGCCATGCTGTGCTATAGTATAAGGTGTGTGAAGCGCAAGATAAAAGAGTGGTTGTATGCTTGTATAGAGTATGGTGCTGAAGAGAGGTAAGGAGAGAGACCAGCAGCTGTATCGTTATGGTCGCGACTTGTAGCTCTTCTGAGGTAGGAGCACTTCAAGTTGTACTTGCTGTATAGGTCCTTGGGGATGTAAAGCGCATGTATCTAGGCCTCGGCATAGGTGAATGGTCCCACGCATACTATATAGTCAATCAGTGAAGACCATGATGGGTGACGACGGGCACCATGATGGCGAATTATCCTCATGATTAGCATCGCGTCAGGTACCAAAGTAACGACATCCGTTCACCATTGCGATTGCAGAATCTGTACATGTTTGTCGCGTGCTTCACAGAGGTGTATACATGTTACAGTTTCCAGTTTGCATCCGTGCGTGTCCGGGTGCGCAGACTCGAAGCATTGAATGTAGACTGATCGCTGCGGGTAGACGCTAGACCCCGCTGCTGATGACATGCCGGCAGAATGGGGGCTAATGCAGGTGATGAGTGCGATTGCGCAATAGGTCCGAAGTGCAGAACACGCGGGGTGTGAGGGGCTGTAAGAGGAGAGAATGTCGAGGTCGGGAGGGCTGATCATGAGCTAGTGCCATCCAAACCAACCAACCAGGCAGCTCTACGCATGACGGAAGTAACCAGTACCACTTGCAGACAGAAACTCCATTCCGAACATTTCCATAATTCATATAGTAGATGAGTGCGCCATGACCCTGGGTATCATATAGACTCCGTAAATGCAACATTACACATCATAAGTATATCGTCTCCCTACAGCAGATCTATGCCCTCTCTCTCCGCAGCCTGCAGTATGAAGCTCCTAGTCTTCGCATCTGGCGCGAGATCCAGCGGTAGATTGCCATCATTGTCCTTCTTATCGTGCTCTGCGCCCATGGTCAACAGTAGCAGCGCCGCGTCTCCATGCCCCTCGCTCATCGCATGGTGCAGCGCTGTCATGCCGTCCATATCGGTAGCATTCAACGGACTCTTTGCTTCTAACAGCGCCTTCATCATCGGTACGCTGCCCACTGCCGCTGCTCGGTGTAGTGGAAGTTGGCCCCTCTTGTCCTTTGTCCGCGCACTCGCCGGCGGTTTCTGTGCCAGCAATGTCCGTGCAATATCGAGGTTGACTTTCGATGCGCAAAAGTGCAAGGCAGTTTGACCGTTATTGTTCTTCGCGTTTACTTCGGCATCTTTAGAGAGCAGTAGGTCGACTATGGCCTCTGCGTCTTTCCGGGAACACGCCATCATGAGGGGCGTCCAGCCAGAGCCATCTGTCACGTCGGGGTCGAAGGACTTGGCTTGCACGAGAGTTTGAACGATAGGGAGGTGGTTGTAGGATACTGCCCAGTGAATGGGGAGACGATCGTCTGGGTCGCGGAGGTTTGCGAGTTTGGGGTTTGCGGCGAGGAGGGAGTCGACGCGGGATGCTGGGGTTGTTAGAGTTGGTTGGCTGAGGGAGAGTTGTAGATTATAGATACCTTGGCCCTCTCGGCAGGCCTCGTGTATGGCATATTTTGCTTTGTATTCTTCCATGGCGTTGGAGGTGATGCGACAATGTACTACACTGGTGACGTTGACGCGTATGTTAGCCACTTCGCAGCTCAGCCCAAGAAAGTTAACCCCGCTATGACCGAGGCACGGAGATCGCCGCCCCGTGAGATCCTAGTGTCAATGACGTAGTTACCAAATGTATGTCTTTCATGATCACATTGCATTGGAGAGAAAGTCGCAGTGAAAAATTGCAAATTATAATTCTTCCTTATCCACGATCTATCAAGAGACTGAGATGATTTATTGAACATTACATCTTCGCTGTCTACATACTGCTCTCTCCCTTTTACGAGCCTCACCATTTCCATTCTCTTGGTGACATGCAGTCCTCGACAGTAGCAGTAGCAGTATCGAGCACAGGCGCGACAAACTGTCTGGAAAACTCAAAGCTAGAGTGCTGACTAGCTCCTGGAGTCAAAGCTTCAGCACCAGTCTTGTTCCGCTACCGCAAAACCGGGCTCGTACCACAGGGTCTGTCCCGAAACGCCCTGGTGCCAAACGCGCATCGTAGTTCCACAGCGACTCATAGCATCAATCATGACAGGGACGACTCTATGGATCGACTCATCTCGCTCCGTCATGTAATCGGCCCAAAGCATGTGCCACGCCGCCTTAGTGTGTAACTCGAGGCTTTCCAGTCGTAAAGCTGTCACTGCGTTGACGATGCGCTTTATAGCTGCATCTTGCTCATCACCTTTTGTATGCTTCCTGCATAGTTGTGCGAGTCGCATACAGTAGATGCTGGTAATGCTCAATGACTGCAAGCTGGTCGGCAGTACTTGTGAAGTGAGTAAATGGATGAGTAAACTTCGATTGTTCAAGTCTCTCGAGTTGATAAGCTCATCGTCTATAGTGAGGGTGGTTAAGCTGCAAAGTTGCTTCAAGCTAAAAAATAGCCGTCTAGGGTACCCGTACCGAGGGATGGTTTCGTAGCCTAGACTTTTTGGGTCATGAATACTTAACCTCTTCAACTTGTAGAACGGACAAGGAGCATTGCGGTCGTCCATTTGCTTCATGCGGTATGTATCGCGCCTCTGGATAGCCTGTTCACCTTCTTTCTTTCCGTTGTCGGTGGTGTCTGTTAAAGGGGGAGAAGAATGTCGAGTAAAAGGAACATCGAGTTGAGTGTGGTAGGTAGTCGAATCATATATTTCCAAGGTTAGTGAGGTCAAATGATCCTCCTCTGCAATAGCGTCCACTTCGATCCATGGCCATCCGATGACGATACGCGTTATTGGCATTTCTGACAGGTTGGTACTGAGGGTGATATCATTTATCTCTTTCGCAAGACAAATGATCATCGCGACTTTACCGTCAATGACTGGCGCATAAGCCAACAATTGTTGGAGCCATTGCTTTGCTAGAAGCCTCGACGACGACGACGACAACAACGGAACAAACTCTTCAAGTAGAAGTTTCACCTCAGCCAGCCTCGGTCAGAGTGACGTAGGGCTGTGGGTACGCGGAAAAGTGTTTGTGTGCTCCTTGTCGGTCAAAGTGAACGAACGGATACGCCCCGCCAACTCTCGACGATTGAGTATGGTGTTGAAAAGTAGGCTTATGCTAGCATGCTGTTGGTCCGAGAAGGTGAGTTCGCCGTACAGGTATGGTTCTGCTATCGTGCGATGATATCTCGAAGTCTTCAGAAGAGCCGAGAGATCTTTCTTGTCCAGACGCTGTGCGATATTCTCGTCTATCTCAGTTGAGAGACGGTTCATGGCGGGCGGCCGAGATCGTGCGATCGGGTGTGGGCAACGTTAGAGATCTGAAAAGAGCAGAGAACAGAGACAAGAAGGCGCGTCTGCAGTGTTGTGGGCACGGACCTCGCGACACGTGTTTTTGCTCTCAACTCACTGCGGCAATCTCGAAAGTGGGGCAAGTACATTAAGCAAACACGTTCAGTTTCTTTCATTATGTGGTGCTGATGTAAAGTTGTGTTTCGATTGCATGGCTTCCATGGTACTGCGATGACCCATAGACAACGAGCCACTCACACCTACCGCACTACCATCGTCACCATCGTCGAAACCAACCATGTATGTACATATGGTTGGAGAAACCATTTCATTCACTCGTTTCCAGGGCTGGATACCGTCAAATATGGTTCTCGCCCGAACTTGAACAATATCTCAACCATGGTATACTTCAGTCATGTGCTGCTGCTGGAACCTAGCCATGTAAAGAGGTATATATATTGGGAGG